AAGCAGCATCCACAAGCAACAGTGTTGCTGTACGGCTGGGTGCGTGCTTGTGGTTCAGCCCAAAGCATCTGGCCACCTCATCAATATCAGCAAATCCCTCATCGTCCACCGCCAGCCCGAGATACTGATCATGCTGCCTGACCACCTTCGACAGCTGCGTCAAGTAGTCTTTCAAGGGCTTGGCAAAGAAGAGGTGATGCCCGTTCAGATCCCAGCCTGAGGCAAATTTCCAAAGGGATCTCTTTGTCGCCGAGGCGGACAGCCTGTTGAACCATCGACTTCAACTGTACAGTACGCGTCCTCCTTGTACTGGTCTTCCAAGTACTGCACGTACACGGGATAAGCTGTCCATGACATCCTGAGGCTCATGGTCTGAGGAAGGCGCTTCCGGCTCGGGCTCACCAGTGATGGCGCCCGTCTCTGGTTCTGTCTCGTCCTCTTCGACCTCGACAGCTTCTTCTTCCTCAGTTGGCTGCACTTCCTCATCCTCCTCATCGATGTCAAGCCAGTTGGCAGGAGTTTGTCCTGTCTCAACGTGAGAGAGCTCTTAGCAATGCCTGCAATCGGCCTTCATAGGTGTCACGACTGAGGTTGAGCTCCTCTGCGCTGCGATCTTGCTCCTCTTCGATGATCTGCCGCCTCTGCTCCATGATCTTCTCTGCGGCCGCATCGTTGGCCACGAAGATGTCTGACAGGTCAGGCTCATCCACGGGCTCGTCGGCAAAGACGGCCAGCCCGATTGGGCTGATCACCTCCTTCTTCGTCAGCGGTCGAGCTTTGAGCTCCATGACTGCAACAGCCCGCTGCGGATCTCGGCCAAGCTCCGCAGAAACTCTTCATACTCCTGGTCCGCTCTCTTGCGATCTTCGCTCCTCGAGGACTCCAAGTGGCCTGTTCATGTCACTGTTGGCCCTCACCTCCAAGGAAATGTTTGAGATCACATGGAGGCGCATGAGCAGATGAAACATGGACTTGCAAAAGCTGTAAATGCGGTTGGCGTTCTCATCGCTTTTCTCGGCATGCCACTGCGGGACCAGCTCCAGCCTGTTGGTGAGGATGTTGGAGTTGATCAAGCGGAACCTGCATTTGCCAATTTGGCTTGGATATACTTCGTCCTGAAACCAGGCGCAAAGCTGGTTCATCCAATGAATAGTCGGAAGGATCGGGCGGCCGAGTGGACTGCGTACCTGTGGCAGTCGGCTGCAAAGCCCACAAGCTCTGCCTGCACCTCATCCATCAGTCGTACATGATGGTCTCCATCAGGTGCATCGAATGGCCACGATAGCATCCCCTCGATCCCTTTCTTTCCGACCAGTTCCTTTCCCGACCACTCGACTGCCACCAAAATCATAGTGCCAGGGTAGCGTGCCTTGAGATCACGGATCGAAATCCGAGCTCGCTTCAAAAGAAACGGGAATTCGGCGCCACAAAATGCAAAATGCACTCATGGTGGTAGCGCTGGCAATACGACGGCTTGTATGCCTGGAAATGATCTGCCAAATCGAAGCGGAGCGCTTAGGCTTCTTCTTTGAACCACTCACCAAATTGAGTGCGCTGTCCGCAATCAGGATTTGAATCGTCTTGTAGTCCTGACTTGCGGGCACACCGGTGAAGGTGGCCAGAATCTCCTTTTGAGTCCGCATCAGCGGATCGAGTTCTGGCGCGAGCCAGGGGTTCTTCTCCACGAGTCCTGGCAAACAGGAATGGGCCGTGTGTTGGCTCAACACTCCGTTGATGACCGTGTCAACAATCTCGGAGTACCCGTCCTCCAAGTAGTAGCCAGAAGCAAGGATCTGGCGGAAGTGGTCCTCAAAGACCTCCAACGTCTCCTTCCGCTGCTCCAAATCGGCCGACATGTGCGAAGCTGCCATTATCGCTGGCAGGGCGCTTCTCGACGGCAGCTTGCTGGCTTGAGTTGCTATGCTTAAAGCAGCGGTGAACAAGGTCAGTGTACTCAAAAGTGTAACGCTCTTCAATGACTTGCCGCACTTGCCTCTACTCTGTCCATGCTTGTGTTCATGCGTACACATATACTGCTCAAGACATGCAAGTTCATGAAGATTTGTTGCGATATGCCAACTTTTGCGCATAAGTTCACCGTTGCTATCACGCACGCCAAACATACACCCATCAAAGTTGTACCGTTGCAAATTGCGGCGTTTGATGAAAGCCAGCACCGACGGCCAATGCCAGTAGCGACAGCGACGGGAAAGCTCAAAGGCAACAAACGTCCTAGGATCGATGTTGTCACGCACAAGCTTTGCGAAGTTCTTGAACAGCTTTGTGAACTCTTTTTTTGCTCTTTGATGCGATCAAACCCTTCCTCAGTTTGCTTGTCGACGTTTCCCCATGGGACGCCACCTGCGCAGGGCAAACTGAGCTTCTCGGTGAAGGACATCATTGCCATTGTGCAAAGGATAACAAGAATCGCTTCGAATTTCTTGGAATCCGTGAAGGCTCGAAGCTGGAGACGCGTGGCGTCAAATTGTGGCCATTCAAGATGAGGGCAGCTGCAGGACAAAGCAGACACGCGATCAAGAAGGCCGAAGACAACTATCGTGCTGCGGAGGTCATCTACTGCAGTCCGTCCCTCAAGCCTGAAGCAAAGGCTCCCTTCACCGGGAAGCCCATCGCTGGGATGGATGAGATTCCGACCTGGCATTTCACCGGACCCGTCCGGCTTGTTGGAAGAGGATTCTTGAGCAAGGGCTGTCATTCCTGGCGGTGGGGACTTCGTCGGGTCTGATCGTGCCCACGTCTATTTATCCGGCAGCCGCATCTCTAAGGTCGGATATCAAAGCGGGCTACGAGGAAAGTACCCAGTGCAGATCACTGTGGCTCTGAAGGAAGCAGTGGAAGACGGCCTCATCTTCTTCAAGAATCGCAGCGGAGGCATTATGACCATCGATACTGTTCCGCCCGAATATATCGTTTTGGTCGAGGACACAGACAGCAGATCGACCCTTTGGTCGCGTGTCGGTGCATCTGGCCTCAAGGAGAAATCCACAGCTGCAGAGGAAGAAGGCTCGGCCACCGTCACTGGTGCGCCCGAGCCAGCCGCAAAAGCAATGCCGCTCGCCCTCAACATTGTGAGCAAGCAGCGCCAAAGCCATCGCCAAGGAGTGCATCGGCATCCACTGCAAGTGAGCCACAGCAGCCCTCATCGGCTAGCCCAGCGGCACCTTACAGCGGGTACGCCCCGCCTGAACCCGCTGAGCCTCCACCAGGTTTCGATGCGCCCATCACTGCACCTGGGCAGCGACGTGGCAGGAAGTTGAACTTGGTGACGAGCGAGTGTTGCAAGTGTCAGAGCCTTGTTCTTCGCGGGATGACTCATTGCAACGTCTGTTCAGCAGCACTTGACGGGAACACAGAGCTGCCAGACGAGACGGTCATGCATTTGGCTGACCTGAGCGTGAGCAAATGGCCGTGCTGGAGTCGTGAAGACCGAGAGCTTGGTGTCTGAGTACATGCAGGCTGGCCTGAAGCTCCGAGTGACCTCGGCCAGCGGGCGTGGCTGCCGAGAAGTGCGGCTTCCATAGCATAGAAGATCGAGTGGAACATGACACCCATTTCATGGAGAGGATGCTCCAAATGGGTCATGATTTCCGAGCAGCTCAACGCCAGGATTGGTTGTGCCATTGTCACTTGGCCAACCCACCACGCAACAGGGCGCAAGTCAGCCTAGGGCTTGGGTACGACGAAGATCACACCCTTCCTTGCAAGGTTAGCCTACGATGTACATCGTGGAGCAGTGGTGCGTCCTCTATCGCACCAACATCCTCTCATTGCGTGAGTACGCGGAGTACGTGAAGACTCCAAATGCCCATCGAAGCCTCTTGGCCTGGGACGGTGTCCACAACATCGACAGGGAGTATCCCCTTGATGACATTCGTCGCATTTGCCAAGCCAGCCATTCCGCTGCCAGGAACGACGTGATCAGCAAGCTGAACCAAGAGCAGCGTCAGCAGGGAAAGGGAAAGCGAAAGTCCTCCGCTGATGAAGGCGCTCCAGCCGCAAAGGCAAAGGGAGCACAGCCACCATCAACGGTGAGCCCTTCACCATCAGGATCTTCTTCCTCGTGGGGATGGAGCTCATGCAATCGGAGCCAATGGGGCGGGCAGCGGCAGTGGGACCGCAGCTCATGGGACTGGAGCTCGAGTCAGAGCTTTGGGCGATGGAGCTCGTTGAGCCAAGTCTCAACACCTTTGGCGAGCATAATTCGATAGCTTTGCATGATATCCTCTGTAAATATGTATGCGGTTTTCCTCCCAAGTCCAAACTTTCAAACTTTCTTTTGGCGGCGGGGAGTGAATAATTAACATGCACTTGTAGGGCCACGTTTGGCATTGGATTGCTAGCATCCATCTATGCCATCAGCGCACAGCCTGCTTCACCGCAGTGCCCTGCACTAGCCGCAGCCCTTGTGCACTTTCCGCGACCAGCTTTGGTATCAAAGATGCCTCAGCTGAGGGGGGTGTATTTTCACTCCGGGTAATATGTACACTTTGCCATGCACTGTATATAGGATATCATGTACGTTTACCTGTAGCTCGCGGCCCAAAACAGGAGCGGTAGCTTAACGGCTGTTTCTATAGTTTCCAATGCAGGGATTGTTGAGTGGCAGACTGCGCACACACTGGCAGCCCTACAATTCTTGACGTTGACGTGTGCTTTGTGGCAAACGCATCAAAAGTTGGTACACAGGGGCCACATGACTGGGACACTTGTATGTATTTTGGACCATTCCCATCTCAACATGACTTTCGCCGCAGTAAGGGTTTTTTACCACCCCTGATTCGGATGCTTGTCTGCTTGCAGGCTTCATTTGAGAAGCTTCGGGAGAGAAATGACGTGGCGGAGCGACAACGTCTGCTTCCCGTGCGGTTGAGCGTGACTTACCATATGCGTTTCATGGTGCTCCCGTGTATGGTGCAATGTCCCATAAATAAACTCAGGACAGGTTCATTTCCTCCGTAGCATCGGGGCTCGAAAGGTGGATGGGAGGTGGTGAGAAGCCACCTCCCAAACGCTTGTGCAATCGGTGCGACAAGTACGAGGTCCGGGAGTTGAATACCTCGTTGTGTTTGGTCTGCCGGCGCACCTACCAGCTGGGAGCGACCATCAACCAGGTGTTTCCGGCTGCAGGGGAACACCTGGCTTTGAAGTTCCTGGACCGCGTCTTTGACTGGCTTCAGGAGACTGTCAAGGAGGCGGAGGAGATCCAGCGTGAAAGCTTGTTGAAAGGGAGCGGTGGTGACGCTCCCAGAACTTCAGGTGTCGCCTCAGCAGCCAACGAAGAGCCCTTGAAGAGAAAGACTGTTGAAAGCCCTCAGAAGAAAGCAAGCCAATCCGAGACCAGCCCAAAGAAAGGATCCAGCACTACCTCAGCCTTAGCAGAAGGTCCAAAGCCCAGGCCCAGTGAAGTCAGCCGACCATCGTCATCAGGCAGAGGTGAAACCACTGTTGCCGCACGTGTTTTACCTCCCCCCAAAGCACCACCTACACTCCCCCCAGCCAAGGCCAAAGGGAGTGTTGCATTGGTGGAAAACTCCCAAGTCCCAAGGCACTCCCAAGTTCAGCCGCCAAAACCCACCAAGAGTGT